CAGTGCAGGGTATCACATAGTGAGGGGGCTGAGCATGCTAGCTTGAGTCTCTCTTCTTTTTATAAAGCCACTCGTTCCATTCCCATGATAACCCATTAATCCATTAACCAATAAATCCATGAATGGATTTGTCCATTCATAAGGGTAGAGCCCTCATGTCCCAGTCACCTGTTATAGACCTCACCTCTCAACATTGCCTCACCATGAGATTTGGAGGGGACATTCAAACCATAGCCCATTGTATCCCATGCAAGATCACCTCAGACCTAAGAACTCATTTTATGGCAAAAGAAATATAGCAAAGGGAACAGACTTAATCCATTTACTTGGTAAGACCAAGTAAACTGGCCTGAGAGAATGGTGGGATATGGTCTCCTGGAGGCTTAGTTGTGGTGTCAGCTAAGCCATATCCTTTAAGACTGAGTACCATCCTGTAGAGAAGTATATGCTTTAAATCAGCCAAAGGTAGAAGGAGCTAGTAGCCTCTCAAAAGATACTAATAATAATCCACTAATGGAATTTTCCCCAATTGCGTGCTCTAAGGACTTGGAAAAACCTCTAATTCCCAAGGGAGGAGGGTTTTCACAGGAAACATAGTCCTGCTTCCACTGAATTGGAAGTGAAACTGCCTCCTGAGCATCTGGGCTTCTTATACTTTGGAACTAACAGGCGCAAAAGAAAGGTGTTACTTTATTGTTCAGATGATTGATCCTGCTAAGAGGAAACAGCTGCTGTTACATGAGCGATACAGGAGGGGCTATACCTGGAACATAGAGGATTCACAGAAGCACCTCACGTCCAGTAACAGCTATTAACTTCGTTTGGGCTTCCTAGAAGTGCCTGAGACAGGGATCTGGAAGCATATGATTTATTGAGAAGGTGCTTTTCAAGAAAAACCTACAAAGCAGGGAAGAGTAGAGAAGAGGAAAGAGCTGAGTATGTGTGTGGTCTCAGACAGATCCAGCCTCGGCCCCATCCACCAGGAAGGGCTTTGAAACACAAAGTATGTCACATATTTGCCCCCTTTGAGGCAGGGTCACTAACGTTTTCACTGTGTATTACCACCTTGGGAGTGGCTAACTCATCCAGTAAGCTAAGGACAGTTCTCCATAGAAGCGAGCAGTTGTGGCAGTTAGCAGCCAATACTGACAGCTGGAGGGAGTGGTTGTACTGCCTGGCAAAGGCGATCGGAGCAGGGCACACAACATGTACTGTAATCACCAGGAAACAGCAGTAATTCAACACAAACACATATTCTACTGGAAGGTACCAGGAGAAACAGACAGAAACTATAGAGTGGGGATAGCCGATAACAGATTCTTTAGGAAAGCTAAGGGATTAGAAACACAGGTGAGGATTCTGGCGTTGAACAAAAGGGACTCTTTATCCCTTGAAACTTCACAGAATGAAATTTGTATAACATTAGAGGCTTTATGTATATTTGTAGGCAAAGGGTCAAGACATTTAAAATTCACCAAAATCTTATTGCTAGCCTACTACCAATAAGTGTCAGGCATATTTTAGGGGCTGGGAAGTCACAGCATAAAAGACAGGTCAGGTCCATGTCCTGATGGAACTTACTGTCTGGTAAACCATCAGTTATGATGACAGTATAAGGACTGGGGAACAGAGGAGGGGGCAGGCAGAATAGATTTCCCTGAGAAGTGTTATCTGAAACTCAATTAGTCCAATAAGGCCGGCAGGGGGCAGTGTTCTAGGCAGAGTGGAGGTGATATCAGCAAATACTACACATGAATGTGTGGAAATGACCAAGAACATAGTACATTGAAGAACGGAAACAATTTCTGGGTGGGAGGCTTCTAGCAAATGATGGGGCAGAGAGCTAGCTGCAAACCCCATGGAAGCACGACTGGAAACCATCAAAGGGTTTTAAGAATACGGATAAGGGCCAGGGGCATTGGCTCACACCTGTAAAACCCTGCACTTTCGGAGGTCAAGGTGAGCGGATCACTTGTGATCAGGAGTTTCAGATCAGCCTGTCCACACGGTGAAACTCCATTTCTACTTAAAATACAAAACTTAGCCGGGTGTGGTGGTGCAAGCCTGCAGTCCCAACTACTCAGGAGGTGGAGGCAGGAGAATCGCTTGAGCCCAGGAGGAAGAGGTTGCAGTGAGCCAAGATCACAACATTGCACTCCAGACAGGTCGACAGAGTGAGACTCCCTCTCAAACAAACAAAAAAGAATACGTATCTGGGCCCAGTGTGCTGGCTCATACCTATAACCCCAGCACTTTGGGAGGTCAAGGCAGGAGGATTGTTGGAGCCTAAGAGTTCAAGACCAGCTTAGGCAACATTGTAAGACCCTATCTCTACAAAAAATTAAAAAATTAGTCAGCTGTGGTGGCACACGTCTGTAATCCCAGCTACTTGGGAGGCTAAGGTGGGAGGATAGCTTGGGCCTGGAGGTTGAGGCTGCAGTGAGCCACAATCATGTCACTGCACTCCAGCCTGAGTGACAGAGAAAGATACTGTTTCAAAAACAAAACACATACACACACACAGACACACATGCACGATCAGATGTACAGTTTTGAAAGTCTCGAAAGATGAAAAGGGCTGCGGAGTTCAAACTTGGAGTTTAAGGGCCTGGGGCAGTGGCTCATACCTGTAATCCCAGCACTTTGGGATGCTGGGGCAGGTGGATGGCTTGAGGCCAGGAGTTTGAGACCAGCCTGGCCAACATGGCAAAAATGTGTCTCTACCACAACCACAATAATTAGCTAGGTGTGGTGACATGTGGTTGTAATCCCAGCTACTCTGTAGGCTGAGGCACAAGAATCACTTGAACCCAGGATGAAGAGGTTGCAATGAGCGGAGATAATGCCACTATACTCCAGCCTGGACGAGAGAATAAGACTTTGCCTCAAAAAAAAGTTAAAAATTAAAAATTATAAAGTGGATATGGTGGCAGGATAAGAAGGCAAAGACATGAACATATTGAATGTCTGAGCACAGGGGTTGGCATGAGTGGGAGAGGAATAAGCCCAAAAGGTGGAAGACACACTCAGAGTAAAATGTAGGTGTCAAGGGGATAGGGGTCCATGTAAGTAAAATCACGGAGAAGAGAAAGGAGGAAATTACTGAAAAGAACCAAGGATAGAGTCAAGGGCAGGGAAGTTAAGAGTTTATGTTAGGAAACTTGGAGTTTGAAGATGTTGAATTGGAAGGGAAAAACCAATGCAGAGTTTAATTCAAATCCCTGAACTGAGCTTGTGGAAACTGAAGCCGGGTGCTAGATGCAGGCCATGTTATGTGACTTAAAAGTTGTCACAGAGAAGAGCATGAGCTGGGTTCCTCGACACTCCGGTGAGTCAAGATCACAGCAACGAGGCTGAAAGACGTAAACTCACTTGGTGTTGTACCTCCCTTCTGTACTTTGAGATGCCAGCATAACACTGTACAAATGTTTAGCTGGGGACCATTCAAAATCAAGAAGCTGATTAGAAAATAACCACAAACCTTATGCTGTATTCTGGCAAAAAATCTAGAGGCCCTCTAAAGGTTAGCATCTAAAAATACATACAGAGGCTGGGTGCGGTGGCTCATGCCTGTAATCCCAGCACTTTGGGAGGCTGAAGCAGTTGGATCACTTAAGCCCAGTTCAAGATCAGCCTGGGCAAAATAGGGAGGCTCTAACTCTACAAAAAAATTAAAAATTAGCCAGATGTGGTGGCACACACCTGTAGTCCCAGCTACTCCAGAGGCTGAGACAGGAGGATGGCTTGATCCTGGGAGGTCAAGGCTACAGTGATCCATGATCAAGCTACCACACTCAGTGTCAGCCTGGATTTCAGAGCGAGACTCTGTCTCAAAAACAAACAAAACCAGAATTCCCTTATTTGGCCCCTACATTTAAAAATTTAATTTACAATTATTATTCCACAGAATACTAGGCTCAGGAACATTGAGTTGCTTTTTTATTCTTGGTAAAGACCAAAACCAGAAAGTTTAATGACCAAATCAGTTGTTTTTACCATTTGAAAATTCTTATACTTCATATGTTAACATCAATGAAACAATTTTAAAAATTCAAGCTAGCAATCTGCTTTTATGCTCTACACTTTATAAGATAAAAAGTAGAGCAGGATAAATCCTGCTCTGTTTAAATCCAATTTTCTACCCTCTTTTATTGCACAAAGCCAAAATAACTGTATCACTGAGTAATCCTGGCCTATAAACTAATCATACAGTTATGCTGTTCTGTGCATAATTAGGAGATATTAAACAGTGCTTCTGAAGCCCAGCGTGGTGGCTCATGCCTGTAATCCAAGCACTTTGGGAGTCGGAGGGAGGAGGAACACTTGAAATCAGGAGTTCCAGACCAGCCCGGCCAACGTGGTGAAACCCCGTCTCTACCAAAAAAACAGAAATAAGTCGGGCGTGCACTTCGTTGCGGATGCCTGTAATCCCTGCTACTCGGGAGGCTGCGGCACGAGAATCTCTTCGATGGAGATTCTCTTAGATGTTTTTAATCTCTCAGATGGAAAACGAACCTGGAGTTTTGATGAAAAGGACACTGATTCTGGCTAGAGGAGAAAATTATAACAGCGTAGTTATCTGTGGGTTGCACGTCCAGAACACATAAAACATTTTAAACCCTTGCTGGGTCAGGGATTTAGTCATCTTCGCAGCTCCCACGGACAGCATCCACCAAAGCGCTTTCCAAGTACTTCATTCCCCAGAAAATGTTTGTTGGAGAAACCGGTGAATACAGGTAAAGTAACAAAATGCGGACGGATTTCGGAAAGAGAAGGAACCGCGGAGCTCACGCTTTGCACGATCACCCCCACCAGCCCCAGGAGTTTTCGCGTAAATCGAAGCCGGGGAGTAAGTCGCAGGCAGCAGCCCCCAGGGAAGGTGTTTCAGGCCGGCCAGGGAGAAAAGACCTTCCCGCCGCCTCCCTGACACTCTCCGCTGTTTCTCGCAAACTTCTTCCGAGCCTTCCAGGCCGGGGACCGCCCGTCTCCCCGCCCCCGGAAAACCTTGCAATACCAAGATTGGATGAAAATGACTAGGTGGCCTAGCGCCTGCCCGCTCCCGCGCATGCTCCCTGACTTCACCAGGGTCATGCCGCAGCCCGCAGGAATAAAAATCCACTTCTCCGCATTTTGGAGATCACCTGGTAGCGGTTCAAACGCTTTGGCTTCTCAGAGAGGAGAGGACCGGGCGATCACGAGGAGCCGAGGGAGAAGGCTGCTCGCAAAGCCCGGAAAAGCTTTCCCGATCCACTTTGCGGGCCTCCGGGCGCCTCCAGACATGCGCAGTAGCCTCCCCAGCGGTGGCGGCGGTGGTGGCGGCGCTGGTGGAGGCTGAGTGTCCAGAGCCGGACGTTCCGGCCGCTTCGGGCTGGCCGCTGGAGAGCGCCCGGGTCATGTCGGCCCAGGGGGACTGCGAGTTCCTGGTGCAGCGAGCCCGGGAGTTGGTGCCGCAAGACCTGTGGGCAGCCAAGGCGTGGCTGATCACGGCCCGCAGCCTCTACCCGACAGACTTTAATATTCAGGTGAGGTCCTGGGCGTGCATGTGGCGGCCCTGCGGGGAGGTGCGCGCTGCTCCGGTCTCCCGGGCTGCGCTGGCCCAGAGCTGCGCCTGCCTTGGGGCAGCCGCCTCCTGCCCGGCCCCCTCCTTTCTCCCCTCCCACTCCTTCTCTCTCCTCCCATCCTACACCTTGCTCCTCCACCTCTCCCTGGCCTTGCTCCTACACCTTCCTGGAGCCCTATTCCCAGCACTTGAGAGACGGGGACTTCCTTGGGTCCCTGGGGCTCTGCGTGCCACCTGGCCTAGACAACATATGATCGCCACTAGCAAAAGGCCATTCGCTCGTTCATTCATCATAATGGCAGCCGTTTGTTCAGTGCCTGCGACTTTGGAAACGTTATCCCACTTAATCCTGGGAGCCAGCGATTGCAAGCGAACCCCAGGGTCACACTGTAAGCCCAGTGGCCAGGCTGCCATGTATGTGGCGCTGTGTCACCAGGTGGAGCTTCACTTTCAGGGCCTCCCTTCCTGCGGGAGGGGCCACCAGTGATGCTGGATGAGCGGAGAGCCTCCCGGGCAGGGGTGAGTGACCAGGGTGCTTGATGTGTGTTGCAGTATGAGATGTACACCATCGAGCGGAATGCAGAGCGGACCGCCACCGCCGGGAGGCTGCTGTACGACATGTGAGTGGGATGCTTGACATCACTTTTACTGCACTGAATCTCTCCATGAGGTTTTGTTTCTGTCTGCAGAAGTGGGAGTTGGGGGAAGAGCTTCAAGTTCCTATACATCTTCGATACCTAAAGCAAGCCTAGTAAGGAGTCCAGGTCTGCCATGAATTGCTGACATGGCTTTTGCAGAAGAGTCTAGTTTTTATTCTTACATTTTATCCTTGTTAAAACTTCTATTCCATAATTTAGTCTAGAAATAATATGTGCTCATTGCAGAAATTCAAACACTACTTGTAACAGAGAATACAAAGTGAAATTGCCTTCTAAACTCAACCAAAGTTTTGTGGGCAGTGTATCTATATGTATATACATAATACATAAATAGGTTTTGGAGGGAAAGGGGTTACAAAAATGAGACCATACTACCCCTGTTCTGCAGCATGCTTTCTTTATCCACTGTAATGGATCCCTTCCCTTATCAGTATGTAGAGATCTACTTCATTATTTTTCATGCCTGTGTAGTATTTCATAGCCACTCTTTTCTTGGTAGACATTTAAATAGATATTTTTAAATTATTTGGAATTATGTTCAGTGTGTGAACAATTTCATAGTCATATTTCGTCCTTTTTCTGTGGAATAGATTCTAAGACCTTTTCATAGTCAAAGGGTATGCAAATTTAAAAATTTGATACGCTACAAAATTAGTCCCTAAAATGTGCGATCCCAATCTGCGTTTCCATTAATGGTGTATAAAGAGTACATTTTCCCATACCCTTCCCAACATTGACTTACTAGTCTCTTTATAGTTCTTGCCACTGTGATAGGAGAAAATGGTCTCTTGCTATTGTTTTTAGATTGTACTACTCGTACTATTAATAAGATTCAGGATTGTTTCAACTATTCTCTTTGGCTATGTGTATTCTGTAATTTGCCTTTGCCTGTTTTTTCTTTCAAATAGTTTGTTTTATTCTTGTTGACTTTTGGGAGTTCTTTCTATATTATGGTTACTTGTCTTTTCACCTATAAAACCCCCTAAAGACTTATGTGAATACTCTGATTTTTATAAATCAAATAATTTTTATTTTTACATTTTTATTTTGGTTTGTTTTGGCACATCTAAGCATTCGCTTGGAATAAAGGAAAGTTTTTCACCAAATGCTACTGTATTTTTTTCTTTTGGATACTGTATAGCCTTTGACATTTTAATTTAATGTATTTATTTTAAAAATAGGTTTGTGAGTTTCCCAGACCAGCCGGTGGTATGGAGAGAAATCAGCATTATTACATCAGCCTTAAGGAATGATTCACAGGACAAACAAACCCAATTTTTAAGAAGTAAGGAAAATGGTGTATAAGTTACCATTTCTGGAATACCAAATCATAGATAGTAATTTCACACACCAAAAGACACACCTGGGATATTGGTAACCATGTGTATGTATTCTTCTCTACCAGAGTCTGTAATAATGTCACTCAGTTCCTTGACTGTTTCCTTAGAACCCCTTAAGCTTCTTTAAAGGATATAGGTTTATCAGTGAGACAGGGAATTAATTGCATATATTTTTAACAGGTTTTACAGTAACCAGATAGCCACTATAGATTAACCAGATCTCCGCAAAATAGGAGAGAAGCTTTTAGTAATTTAGAAGCTTTCTCTTTAAACTTCTCTGTGTTTGTTGCTGTAGCCAATCAAAGATTTCAAATTCTACCTAAAATAGCAAGTAGATGCTGAGGTCATTTACTTAAACAAGCACACGCTCTATCGCAACCTGCAGCAGGCACTCTTGTGACCATTCACATACATTGCTTTTTGAATTTGATCAGTCCTCCAAATATGTCACCATTATTTAGCAAACATCCTGTGCTTGATACTGTTGAGCCCCAGAGCCTGCCAGGTTGCAGGTGAAACTTAACCACAGTGATTTCACATGTATGTTTACTGTTCTGTACATGAAAATTCCTTACTCAGCACTTGTGCTGCAGTCTTTTCTGTCCGCATGAAACTTTTAAAAGTGAAATATGTTTTGTACAGGTTTGTTTGAAACTCTTCCTGGCCGGGTCCAGTGTGAAATGTTACTAAAGGTCACGGAACAATGCTTCAACACGTTAGAACGATCAGAAATGTTGCTTCTACTTTTGAGGCGCTTCCCTGAAACGGTGGTGCAGCATGGGGTGAGACTTGATTCTTCCCCTTCTCTGAATATAAAATATAACGGGTCATCAACAGATTTGTCGGTATGGCAAGGAACTACAAAGCGGAAGTTGCTGAAGAGCACTGGATAAGAGTGAACTGAAATAAAAGGTTCTTTGTTAGTAAAGTGAAAAGGACCTTTTTTCTTTTTACCAAATTTTATAAGTTTCCAGGAGAAGCTGTTTTATCAGGAAAATCACCAAGCTCTGACAGTACTATTTATTTGCAATCTATACGGTAAAAAGTTATGTTTTTCTGTTGTATTCTACAATGTGCTTTTGAATTTAGAGTACGGTTTATAGTTTTAATAGATGCGTTTTTCCTGTGCTTCTGCCCTATGGAGACTGTCTTCATTCTATTCCTGCCCCTTCCTGTCATCTGTAATATTTATCGAATGCCATTGGCAGGCATGGGTAAGTGCTAGGTATCTCTTATCTTCCTAAATCCCCTGAAGTAAATAGTATCCTGCTTTACAGATGATGAAACTGAGCATTTCATGTTTTAGTAACTTCCCATAGCCACTGAGGTGTCAGGATTCAAACCATTCATTTGATTCATTCAAACTCTGTGGCTTATTCTTTCCCATGCTATTTTTCTGGCGTCTGGTCCTGGTTAATCATTTCCATGCTTGCTTGTGTTCGTCTCCTAGGGTTGCCATAACAAAGTACCACAGACTGGGTAGCTTAACACAACAGAAAGATTCTCACAATTCTGGGAGCTAGAAGTCTAAAAGGCAGGTGTTGGCAGAGCCACGTTCCCTCTAAAGGCTCTAGGGAAGAATCTTTCTTTAGCCCTCCCTGGCTTCTGATGGTTGTCAGCAATCTTTGGCATTCCTTGGCAAGTAGCTGCATCACTCCTCCAATTTCTGCTCCATCATCACGTGCTCCTCTTCCTTTTCTGTGTCTTTACATGGCCTTCGGTTTGTTTGTTTGTTTTTGAGGCAGAGTCTCACTCTGTTGCCCAGGCTGGAGTGCAGTGGCATGATCTCGGCTCACTGCAACCTCTGCCTCCCGGGTTCAAGCAATTCTCATGCCTCAGCCTCCCAAGTAGCTGAGATTACAAGTATATGTAAATAGCTGTCTTATAGGGACACTAGTCATTGGATTGAGGGCCTCCCTAATCCAATATGACTTCATCTTTACTAATGATATCTAAAAAGACACTATTTTTTTAAAAAAAGTTAGATATATATGAGGTCACATTCTGAGGCTCTGTGGAGATATGAATTTGGGATGCTGTTCAGCCCAGCATACTTTCTGGTCATGACTCTGACCTTTTACCTTCTGTGTGATGCAATCTTTCACACTTTTCCACTCCTACTGTGGGTCATCCCTATGTGGTCGCAAGGAATTTGATACCAACCTCTTGGTGGAGTTGGGTAAGGGACCATCTACTATGCTAGGACATCAGTAATGGAAAGGTAGCCTCAAAACTCAGACCTTTCTGTCCAGTCCACACCAGACTATGTGACTGGCTACTCCTGAGAGCCTACCTTGAATGTGATAAGTTCTGTCTGTACTGATACACCTTCATGTAGAGAATAAAGTCAGTTTATTTCCTAGAAAATCTCTGCCTCTGTATTATCATTTGAACTCCAGTTCCAGTGCTTCCTTTACATTTCTATAGACATTTTGTTAATTCTTGTTAATTGTTAATGAGAATTTTGCTAATTCTGAGGAGAACAACCAAGACAGAGTGGTCAGATATTCAGGTGAATTTGGCCTTCTAGGCTGTGTTGCTAGTGCATTCTTTTATTTTCTAGTCTTTAAAATGTGATTATTTGTTTCTCAGAGAAGTTTGAATACACAAACTATGATAAGTAAAAACAAAAAATACCCTATTACTTCATATAATTCTGACAACTTACACTGTGACACATTTAAATGATTAATTTTGTTTTGAAATAGGTTGGCCTTGGGGAGGCACTATTAGAGGCTGAAACTATTGAAGAACAAGAATCTCCTGTGAACTGCTTTAGAAAATTATTTGGTAAGGAAAATTGTATTCTGTATTACTTCTGTGGTAAGTTAATATGCTGGGGTAAGTGTTGGTTCAGGGATAAGCTCATATATGGAAGGTAAAGGAGCTCTATGTGTTATGCCATTTAAGTTCTTATTTTTTTTCATTTAGAAAGCATTTTAGCCAGGCACAGTGGCTCATGCCTGTAATCCCAGCACTTTGGGAGGCCGAAGTGGGCAGATCATGAGGTCAAGAGATAGAGACCTGGCCAACATGGTGAAACCCCATCTCTACTTAAAATACAAAAATTAGCTGGGTGTGGTGGCAGGTGCCTATAGTCCTAGCTACTCAGGAGGCTGAGGCAGGAGAATCGCTTGAACCCAGGAGGAGGAGTTTGCAGTGAGCTGAGATTGCCGCACTGCACTCCAGCCTGGCAACAAAGTGAGACTCTGTCTTAAAAAAAAAAAAGAAAGCAAGCATTTTAAACAACTTCTAAGCTTTTGTTATATAAGATTTGATACCTCTGAAAGAATATGTGTAACTGTATATGTAGGTATGAAGCACAGTAATAAACAAATGTCTGAATTCAGTGGAAGAACTGGACCGTCACCTACTATAGAATTAACTGCCTGTCTCTCTGTACAACTCATTTTCAATACATGAGTCATAAAGGATTTTCCCCCTAAATGTTTTAGATACTACATCGAATGAACTCTAAAAGCTTTTGTATTTGTCGGAACTTTAGGGTAGACCACCTACTTAATTATTTTCTTCTTTTTCTCCTCCAACAGTTTGTGATGTCCTTCCTCTAATAATTAACAACCATGATGTTCGATTGCCTGCTAATTTATTATATAAGTACTTGAACAAAGCAGCTGAATTTTATATCAATTATGTCACTAGGTCTACTCAAATAGAAAATCAGCATCAAGGTAAGTAGGAATATCCTGTACTTTTATTTAAATAGGCTATAGTGAAATTGCAAATTCAGAAACCCCTCAATGTTCTGATTATTCTCCTCTGGATGCTTACCGGTTTGGGAGTGTTTCAAAAGTTGCTATCTAGAAAAAAATACTATGGTTAAGAGATGAGGCTTTTCTGGAACCAATGCCACCCATTGATCAAAACAATGTTCTGGCTGAGATGTACTATTATTGCATGGAACATTATACATGAATCATGATGAAGTAGGGGAAGTTACTTCCTGCTTATACCAGTGGCCTGTTGTGGGTCCTTGAGCAAAACATAAATGTGTTGGGATTCTGTACTCTCTGTATTTGCATGGGGAGTCAGACTTTGTTTATCAGGCACCACATCAACAGTAAGTCATAATGTTAATTGTAGGTTACTTTTTTCTTACATCTCAGGTGCCCAGGATACATCTGATTTAATGTCACCTAGCAAACGTAGCTCTCAGAAGTACATAATAGAAGGGCTGACGGAAAAATCATCCCAGATCGTGGACCCTTGGGAGAGGTTGTTTAAGATTTTGAATGTTGTTGGAATGAGATGTGAATGGCAAATGGATAAAGGAAGACGGTAATAAATAGTTTATTTCCAGAATTACCTATTGCTTTTTTTGGATCTTTATAAAAACAAAAACATGCTTTTTAAAACTGTGTAGGCCAGGCATGGTGGCTCACGCCTGTAATCCCAGCACTTTGGAAGGTCAAGGTGGGCAGATCATGAGGTCAGCAGTTGGAGACCAGCCTGACCAACATGGTGAAACCCCATCTCTCCTAAAAATACAAAACTTAGCTAGGCGTGGTGGCATGCACCTGTAATAGCGGCTACTCAGGAGGCTGAGGCAGGAAAATTGCTTGAACCTGGGAGGTAGAGGTTGCAGTTCACAGAGATTGTGCCACTGCACTTCAGCCTGGGTGATGGAGCAAGACTCTGTCTCAAAAAAACAAAACAACTGTATAATGCATAAGTATACTTTTTGGGTAAATTTTGTGACACTCAATACTTACGCAAAAGAGGGTAGTTTTTCATTTTATCAAAAGATTTCTGGCCAGGCACAGTGGCTCATACCTGTAATCCCAGTGCTTTGGGAGGCTGAGGAAGGCAGATCACTTGAGGTCAGGAGTTTGAGACCAGCCTGGCCAACGTGGTGAAACCCCATCTCTACTAAAAGTAAAAAAATTAGCTGGGCGTGGCGGTTTGTGCCTTTAGTCCCAACTACTCAGGAGGCTGAGATGAGAGAATCACTTGAACCCAGGAGGCAGAGGCTACGATGAGCCAAAATCACGCCACTGTACTCCAGCCTGGACAACAGAGTGAGAGCCTGTCTCCCGAAAAAGAAAAAAAAAAAAAAAAAAAAAAAAAAAAAAAAAAGAACAGATTTCTAACTGAAATATGAACTCTTAAGACGATGTTGTGTTTGGACCTCTCCTTGCTACTTCAGAGAAAAGAGAAGCTACTTAGCATGTTTGTGTCATGAAATCTTGATCACTGCCCTAATTCAGAAGGGAAGAGCTGCCATTTATATTGCACAGTAAGAATAATTTCACATACCTAGAGCAACGTTTGGTACATGTAATGGTACCACCAGAGCTTTTCTTTAGACCTTTTGCTGACCAGCCCAGAGTAATCGAGTAAGTTTTATCATTCCTTCTTTTTTAGAAGCTACGGAGAAATTTTGCATAGAATGAAGGATCTCTGCAGATACATGAATAACTTCGATAGCGAAGCACATGCAAAATATAAAAACCAAGTAGTATATTCCACCATGCTGGTCTTCTTTAAGAATGCGTTCCAGTATGTCAACAGCATACAGCCGTCTCTCTTCCAAGGTTGGTTTACAAATTTTAGAGTGTCCAAAAAAACGGCGGGGATGGTGAAGAGGATGAAAGTGTTTATCCACTGTTGTTGGATCCAAACAACCGTGGGGCAGTACCCGTCCTTTTTATAGTTGGCAATTTAGTTTTGTTTAGTTTGGCTTAATTGCTAGTTTCTATGTAAGTATGTTTCATTAGAAGTTTCTATATCAAAGGGTGTAATGGTACTGCACAACTAAATACAGATATCAGATGCCATTATTTTGAAGGTAACAGCAGGCTGGGCGCGGTGGCTTATGCCTGTAATCCCAGCACTTGGGGAGGTCAAGGCTGGCAGATCACTTGAGGTCAGGAGTTTGAGAACAGCCTAGCCAATATGGTGTAACCCCATCTCTACTAAAAATACAAATATTAGCCAGGCATGGTGGTGGGCACCTGTAATCCCAGCTACTTGGGAGGCTGAGGCAGGAGAATTGCTTGAACCTGGGAGGCAGAGGCTGCAGTGAGCTGAGATTGCACCCTGCACTCCAGCCTGGGTGACAGAGCAAGACTCCATCTCAAACAAAACAAAACAAAACAAAAAGCCAGCAGATATAAAAACATATTTAAGTAGATTTCATGAAGACATCACAATAGGCAAAGATTTAAAATATACATTTTGTATATCTAGAGTGTATGCATAAATACACTGTAGAAAATTTGAAAAACAGAAATAAAAGAATGGAATCACCCATAATTCTTCCAGAATAATACAACTGTCGTTTTTATGTATTGCCTTATAATGTTACATATATTTAGATTTTGTTTGGAATCTGTAACCATAATGTAAGTATAATTTGGTAGTCTTTTATGGTACTTTAATGATTCATGATCATTGTAAACAATTTGCAGATATATAACAAATACAAAGAAGGAACTGTCACTTGTATTCCACCACTGACAGAGAGTCTTTAACAATTTGGTATATATCTGTATGGTCTTTTTTTTCTATGTGCATCTACTTGTTTGTTTACCTAATTGAGATCACACTGAACATATTTTTCATGACTTTCTCATGACAGTTGAGTAAGCTTCTCTCTTATTTTAAGTATTCCTTTCCTTGCTGCATTTTTAAGTGTTGGTGTTTTTCCCCATCCTTAGGTCCTAATGCCCCAAACCAAGTTCCGCTTGTTCTTCTTGAAGATGTATCGAACGTGTATGGTGATGTAGAAATTGACCGTAACAAACACATCCATAAAAAAAGGAAACTAGCTGAAGGAAGAGAAAAAACCATGGTAATGCTTTCTTTCTTTCTTATTTATTTATTTATTTATTTTGTATTTTGAGATGGAGTCTTGCCCTGTCGCCCAGATTGGAGTGCAGTGGCATGATCTCAACTCACTGCAACCTCTACCTCCTGGGTTCAAGCAATTCTCCTGCCTCAGCCTCCTGAGTAGCTGGGACTACCAGCACCTGCCATCACGCCTAGCTGATTTTTGTGTTTTTAGTAGAGATGGAGTTTCACCATGTTGGCCAGGCTGGTCTTGAACTCCTAACCTCATGATCCACCCGCCTGAGCCTCCCAAAGTGCTGGGATTACAGGCATGAGCCACCATGCCTGGCCAGTGCTTTCAAATATAATTATTAACAGATTGGATGGGACAGTTTGCTAGAGATGAATCTTTGTAAAATATGGCTTTGGAGGTGAATCGATAAACCTTAGGTTTTAAAATTATACTATATATTAATAATCACTAAGTCAGTGGTTCTCCATTGGAGGTGATTTACCCTTCAGGGGACATTTGGCAATGTCTGGAGGCCTTTTTGGTTGTCACAGCTTAGTGGGGAGGGTCTGCTGTTAGCATCTGGTGGGGAGGGGGCAGGGATGCTGCTGAGCCACTCACACAGCACAGGACCACCCAAAAGGTCAGCAATGAGGCTACGAACCCATGCCATAAGTTCCTTATACATGTTTTGACCGAATGGCGTTGATTCAATTTAAAGAACAAAACCAAAATTGCATCAGACATCTAGAGCAGGGTGCAGTACAGGGTGCTGGCCTCAGAATGGAAAGCTCTGAAGCATTTAGGGCAGCAGGAACAGCCTATGGGGAGATGCAAAAAATATTTCATGAAGGAAGTCAACACTTGAAATCAGTGCTGAAAGATGAAGGGTTTTGTCAGTTGTAATTGGGGGTAGATTTTGTTGAAAGGGAAAAGTTTGCACAAAGATACAAGAAGCCCGAAAAATCTGTATTGTAAAATACAGAAGGCGTTACTAGGTAAGTGCAGACAAAAGTAATTTCTGACCAGGACCTTGCACTGGGGGAGGAGAGCTAGAGAGGGGTGACCAGTGCAAGGACGTCATACGCAGTGAACCAAAGATAACTAACAGTTATTCTTTGACATTATTTCTTAGACGATGCAGGCCTTAATTTTTTTTTGTTGCTGAGACAGAGTCTCACTCTGTCACCCAGGCTAGAGCGCAGTGGTGCGATCTCTGCTCACTGCAACGCCTGCTTCCTGGGTTCAAATGATTCTTGTGCCTCAGCCTCCTGAGTAGCTGGGATTACAGGCACACACCACCATGCCCAGCTAACTTTGTATTATTTTTATTATTTTTTTTTTGAGACAGAGTCTCACTTTGTCACCCAGGTTGGAGTACAGTGGTGCAGTCTTGGCTCACTGCAACCTCTGCCTCCTGGATTCAAGCGATTCTCCTCCCTCAACCTCCTAAGGTTGACTTTCATAAAACTGATATTTTTTAAACTTTGCTCCCAAGTAGCTAGGACTACAGGCGTGTGCCACCACACCTGTCTAACTTTATGTATTTTTAGTAGAGATGGGGTTTTACTGTGTTAGCCAGGATGGTCTCGATCTCCTGACCTCGTGATCCACCCACCTCGGCCTCCCCAATGTGCTGGGATTGCAGGTTTGAGCCACCACGCCTGGCCTAACTGTATTTTTAGTGGAGATGGGGTTTCGCCATATTGGCCAGGCTGACCTTGAACTCCTCCTGGTTTCAAATGATCTATCCTCCTTGGCCTCCCAAAGTGCTGGGATTATAGGCGTGAGCCACTGCACCCTGGCCTCAGGCTTTAATTTTATCCTAGGACATGCCAAACCATTATTTGGAAGCCAGTTAAATTATGTCACATATTAGAAAAAAAAGTAAACTATAAACAGGTGCTGTTTAAGTTGTATCTGTCAATGTAAAAAATCTAAATTTTGACTTTCATAAAACTGATATTTTTTAAACTTTGCTCCAAAACCACCACAAGCAAACATAAGAATTTAGCATCAGAAAAGAAATTCACTCCATTTTAAAAGTAAAAATGGAAATGTGTGAGAGTATAAAGACAAAAAATATATCTTAATTTTCAAAGCTAAATTGTTAAATTCAAAAAAATACTATGTATGTGGTATCCTTTGATATGAAATTCATGTAATGGGCAAAGCTGGCAGCAATAATGTTTCCATATAGGACTATATTTATAACTGAATTAACCACGTTCTCCACATTCTTTAAGCAGAGTTCAGACGATGAAGACTGTTCAGCAAAAGGAAGAAATCGTCACATTGTTGTTAATAAAGCGGAACTCGCTAACTCCGTTGAAGTGTTAGAAAGCTTTAAATGGGCCAGGGAGAGCTGGGAGTTGCTGTATTCCCTAGAATTCCTTGACAAAGGTAAGAAAGCGCATGTCATTGGTGCTATTTAAGGTTTTATATAAAATCATTGTGCTACTTGAAACGTCAAGTCACTTATGGCAAATTAAGTTGACTACAGTAGTTCATGCATTTTTTTTTCTTCTTTTGAGACGGGGTCTCACTCTGTCGCCCAGGCTGGAGTACAATGGCATGATCTTGGCTCACTGCAGCCTGTACCTCCTGGGTTCAAGCAATTCTGCCTCAGCCTAGCTGAGACTACAGGCATGTGCCATCATGCCTAGCTAATTTTTCATATTTTCAGTAGAGTTAGGGTTTCGCCAGGCTGGTCTTGAACTCCTGACCTCAAATGATCCACCAGCCTGGGCCTCCCAAAGTGTTGGGATTACAGGGATAAGCTGCCACAGCCAGCCAGTTCCTGCATTTTATAGCATTTTTTTCTGAGCAGGATACCTTATCAGTTGTGAATTTTCAAATGACCATCTACCTTTTAGCTCCTGCTCTGAGGGTATAATTCAGGTAGGGGTGGAGCTTGAGGGAGAGGTTTTGGACTTTCTGGTAAATATTTGTAGTACTGGCCTTTGTTCACCCAGTTTGTTTTGTGCTTCTAGGTCTTTCTTACTGCTGCCTTCCTAAAGCTGCATGTTTGGGGCCAAAAGATATTACTTGTGTATTACCAATAAGTGTTATGTGTTTCTTCTTGCCTTGAAATTCTAGAGCAGTGTTTTAGAAATCAAAGCAAAGTTACTATATATTTTTGGTAGTTTGCCCTCTCTTACTGGATTTGTTAGTTTGTTTTCTTCTTCTGTGCTATAGCTATATATATTTGGTAAATTTGCTTTTGAATTCTCACTCAGAATTTACAAGAATTTGTTTGGCCTGGAAGACGGATACTTGGCTTTGGTTAAGAATCTTCCTCACTGATATGATCATCTATCAGGTAGAGTATTAAATGTATTTTAGGTTCCTGTGTCTGTACGGGATGGTTATCGTGGCAAACCAGCTTTCACATGCATGATGTGTCATCTTCCCTCTTGGGCCAGCCTGCTTACACCTGTTCTGACTTGAGTGGCTGAGTGGGTATGGTCCACTTTCCTTTCAAAACAATTTTGGGCTGGGTGCATTAGCTCATGCCTGTAATCCCAGTACTTTGGGTGGTCAAGGCTGGAGGATTGCTAGAGCCCAGGAGTTCGAGACCAGACCTGGCAACATAGCAAGACCCTGTCTCTACAAAATAAAAAACTTAGCCAAGTGTGGTGGCATGTGTCTATACCTCCAGCTACTCAGGAGGCTGAGGTGGGAGGATCACTTGAGTCCAGGAAGTCAGAAGTGCAGTGAGCCATGATAGCAACACTGTACTCCAGCTTGGGTGACAGTGAGACCTTGTCTCAAAAACAAAATGAAACAAAAACTCCAAAATGACAAGACTGTACCTTTTGTGTTACTTTGGTATATCCAATCATACCTCTCTGTAGAAGTAAGATTTTCAATTTTCAGTAAAAGAGGATTACTTCTCACCCTCCTCCTCTCTCCACTGGTAGAGTCTGCCTGGCTGTACTGTTCTCCAGCATCTTAGACCTAGGACGGAGAGAGTCGATAATTTACCAATGAGCTGCTGTTGGAATGGGCAGGTTGCTGCTTCTGTCCTTCATAAAGGAGACGTGGTGCTTGTAGCAAAATATTTCTAAAGAAATGTCACATCCAAAATGTGCTGGATCAAAGGGCCTGGTTATTTTCTTTAGTCTGAAGACCTAACCCCAGAAAGAAAAATCTTCATCCTTATAAAGTAATGCTGTAAAGAACTCCCAGCTGACTTTAATTAAGTTGATTTGATTCTATTGCTAAGTCTCCATTTCTTCCTCAGATGATCAAACCAAGCTACCTTCTTTGTATAGTTGCTTGCTCATTGCTTAATGAACTCTGGAAGGGTTGTTTTTTTTTTTTAATTTCGTTTTTTAATGCCGTCTTTTTTTCTCCTTGTTTTTCGATCTTTCTTAGGGTCAATATAAAAAGGCAATAGCCAGCCTGCATCACTTAGCAGCTCTCCAGGGATCCATTTCTCAGCCACCAATCACAGGGCAGGGGACCCTGGAGCATCAGAGGGCGCTCATCCAGCTGGCGACGTGCCACTTTGCATTAGGGGAGTACAGAGTGAGTACTGCTCACATGCCGGCCGCAGGGGCACGGGGCCACCGGGGCTTTCTCCTTTGCCCAGTGTGGCTTTTTTATTCAGTGCAAGTGTGTTTCAGTTTGATCTTTCCACCTAGATTTATTGCGTAATCTGCTAATGAACATCACAATGATTTGGTTTTATGTAATTTTCTCTTTACTACAACTTCCCTGAAATTAGGCATCAGTACTTTTTAAGTTTCTTGTTCATTGTTCCATTTGTTGGAAGATTTTTCTTTTTATTATTTATCTTTTCATTATTATTACTTCCTTATTATCTTTTCATTATTCTGTTCTGTTGTACTTGGAAAAACAAGGCCATTACTAAGTGGGAAATGGAGGATTTGTGTTTAGCTTACTCAAACCTCAGATTCTCTCTTTCAATGGTAATAACTCGCTGGGCGTGGTGGCTCATGGCTATAATCCCGGGACTTTGGGAGGCCTAGGTAGGAAGTTTACTTTAGCTCAGCAGTTCAAGACCAGCCTGGCCAACATGGTGAAACCCCGTCTCTACTAAAATACAAATAAATATTAGCTCGGCGTGGTGGCAGGTGCCTGTAATCCCAGCTACTTGAAAGTCTGAGGCAGGAGAGTCACCTGAACCTGGGAGGTGGAGGGTGCAGTGAGCCAAGATTGTGCCTCTGCACTTCAGCCTGGGCGACAGAGGGAGACTCTGTTTCAAAAAAAGAAAAAAAGTCATAACAGCTGATAGGAGTGTTGCAGGAGCAGATATATAAATGGGCGTCTTTCCTCCAGGAGATTTTGAGCCCTGCGTACTACAGGGTGGGGACTGTGTTTTTATCTTTGAACTTTCATGATACCTACCACAGTGCAATAAATGTTTGAATTCAATTAAAACGATAAGCATGTTGTTCTGTGTGCAAGGACTGTATAAATTCAAGGCCACAACATAACACAACAAACGGATTTATTCCCACCCCTCTACATATTGTTGATCACTTTGTGATTAAAAACCCTAAATTTTTTGGCTGGGCGCCATGGCTTAAACGCCTGTAATCCCAGCACTTTGGGAGGCTGAGGTGGGCGGATCACGAGGTCAGGAATTTGAGACCATCCTGGCCAACATGGTGAAACCCCGGTCTCTACTAAAAATACAAAAATTAGCTGGGCATGGTGGTGGGTGCCTGTAATCCCAGCTACTCGGGAGGCTAAGGCAAGAGAATCACTTGAACCTGGGAGGTGGACATTGTATTCCAGCCTGGACAACAAGAGCAAAAAAAAAAAAAAAAGACTCCATCTCAAAAAAAAAAAAAATCCTAAAAATTTTTTTTAACTTGAACTCTGAAATATGATTAATAATTTGTCATGATGATTTTTAGAAAGGAACAATTTGAGAATGTGTGGAGTATGTGCATTCAAAATTGAAAATGCCTTTCCACCATTATTTATGTATCATCTATCAGTTACTTAATTCTAAGTTTTAATTAATTCCTTTTAAGAACTTAAAAGGTAGCACGTATTTACTCACACCAGTATACATATCTCATGTAGAGTTAGCTGCACCGTGTACTACTTCATTGTAGTAGGCAATATAAACTAGTAGATTTAATTAAACAAGATAAACTTCTTCCCTTCGAGAGCTTAGTTCCAACCTCTGAGTACATCACTATTAGGCCTATAGGCAGTGTCAGACTTAACATGATTCTCGACTTCCTGTCTTTAGCCCAGACTCAATATGTCCGGATGTAAGTGTCCTTAGTTCTCTAGCTGTCTTAGTCTGCTTGGGCTACTATAACCAAATAGCATGAAAGGTAAGCCTTGTAAACAACAGGAATTTGTTTCTCACAGTTCTGGAGGCTGGGAAGTCCAACAACAAGGCATCAGCAGATTCAGTGTCTGGTGAGGTCCTGCTTCCTAGTTCATAGAAGGGACAAGAGAGCACTCCAGGGTCTCTTTGATAAGGACACAAATCCCATTCATGAGGGTTTTGCTCTGATCATCTACTCACCTCCCAAAGGCTGTACCTCCTGATGCCCTCAGATTGGGGGTTCAGTTTCAACACACAAATTTTGGTGGGAACACAGACACTCGGATCATAGTACTGGCCCTGAGACACAAAACTTTCAAGTCATGGTGGACTCTCACTCTAGCTAATCCTTTTGATTCTTCCAGTGTGATACTAATCTCTTTGCTATATTACTTTGTGTTTCTATTGTCACCACTATAATCCAGCCTTTTAACTGAGTTTTTGGCCTATAACCCTTTTTCCAACCCTACAAAATTATGGTCATTGCTTTCTAATATACTGCTTTCATCATTCCACTTAACTGAAGTACTGGCTTTCTTGGTGCTCAGTGTTGAACCCCGCTGTTGGGTGAGGAGTAAAAATAGGGTGTGGGGAATATGGGATCCCTGCATTCAGGGGCATATGGTTTGAGTTAGGGAAAAAAGTATAAGGTGTAAGTCAATTAAAAATCAAATATTAATCAGTAGGCCCCAGTCATAGGCACAATAGGCATTCAGGGAACGGTGCTTTCTTTGTTGGGTCCAAAGAGTCAAGGAAAGATTTCTAGAAAAGATTGGCTGGAGATGGGCATTGAAAATGGCAGCTCACAGCTCTGGAGTACAAGTCTTGGCTAGCTCTGTGATGTTGTCAGGTTACCTCACCCAGGCCTATCCAACTCGAGTTCAAGTTCTCAACTCCCAGGCTGCCTGTCTCTAAACTAGAGCTTCACAACCCTGTGGGCATAGATGGGTTCTTGAGGTGCCAATATATGGATCCTGCAGCCTTTGGGGCAGTCAGCCATGACCTAGGGCTGCTGAGGCCACCCAGGGTCAACTGCTGCCAACCCTGACCAGCCTCACACAGATTACTTTCAGGGTGTGCCACAATGTGAAAAGAGTTGGGAAGCATATGTTTAAAGCCCCACTTCTGGGGGTTGAACAGTGATAACACATGGACACAGGGAGGGGAACATCACACACTGGGTCCTGTTGGGTGTTTGGGACAAGGAGAGAGGGGCCTGTTGGGGAGTGGGGACAAGGAGAGAGAGCATTAGGACAAATACCTAATATATGCAGGGCTTAAAACCTAAATGACAGGTTGATAGATGCAGCAAACCACCATGGCACATGTTTACCTAACAAATCAAATGTTTGGCACATGTATCCCTGAACTTAAAGAAAAAAAAAAATTACCTGGAGACCCAAAGAAGTCTCTGGCCTTTTGCATAAAAGGAAAAAAAAAAATAAGTTCCACTTTCTTATCTGGCAAATGGAAATAATGAAAGGGTTTGTTGACACAGAGGAAAGGCTCATTGCATGAAATTGATTGTTGTTAGAATTGGAGTAGGTAGCGAAGGAGTGGTGATGCTGAGTGTCGGGATCAATGCCAGCCTGCACAGAGGCAGTCGAGGCTCCTCTCCTCCACCAGCACTGCATCTGTCCAGCATCTCATCTGTGTCCCAGACCAAACCTCTGGACCTCAGGCAAATCACCTAAACCCATACACAGCCCTTCCCCCCATCTTCCTTTCCTGCTCTAAAGGCCTCTTTTCTGCATTCCAAATCCTTCTCTTTAAAGCTTAGAACAAGATAACCTTCCTGCCTGAAGCTTTTCCTGCTCGTTTCACCTGTGTGTCTTTTCTCCTGTGTTTTAGGTTATGCTCTGTATCATACCCCTTAGACTTCTGCTACATATTTTATTGTTAGTTTTTCTGTGCAGTGTGTTAGTCAGTGTCTTTTGGGCAGGGACATCTTTTCTTTTGGCTGCTGCTGCGCTGTTGAACACCTCAGTACTCAGTGCTTGGTTAATTTTTAAGTTTTGTTTTTTAATAGCAAAGAATGGGTTATTGTTCCCTCAAAGGTCTAGTACATAGATTGAGTCTTATTGTTCACTGCTGGGCAAGTAGTGATCACATAAAGAGATAGAAGTAGAGACCTCCATGTACACATTGTCTGACTGTATGCTGCAAATATTTTGGTACTTCGTTTATTTGATTTCAGTTCAGAAAGCTTCAAGTTAGTTCCTGTTGGTGTTTTCTGCTTTAGATGACATGTGAAAAAGTCCTCGATTTGATGTGCTACATGGTACTCCCCATTCAAGATGGAGGCAAATCCCAGGAGGAACCCACAAAAATAAAGCCTAAATTTAGAAAAGGTACAGTGACATGTTTTATTATGATTTTTGTAAAAATAGCTTAAAAGCCAGGCGCAGTGGCTGACACTTATAATCTCAGCCACTTGGTGGGTGAGGCAGGAGGATAGCTTGAGCCCAGGAGTTTGAGACCAGCCTGGGCAACGTGGTGAGACTCCCATCTCTTAAAAAAATTTAAAAAGAAAAGAAAAATAGTTTTAGGACCCAAGGCTGAACAATGTTTTACAGTTCCTAATGAGATAATACTGCTGCAGGGCTTGCCAAATTGTATAAAAAGTTAATCCCTTTCCAAGTTTTTCCTTGGCTGTGATTTCATGAGCAGCTGTAAATGTCTTTCTTGTAAAGCTGTCTTCACTTCCTGAGTTTGTTATCTGTTTGACGAGTTTCAGTGAATTCTTCTTCCTATCTTTACAATTTTAGGAAAATGTGTACATGATTAATTAGGGGGTATCTGTCAGCACATCCCTCTGAAACCATTCTGAGCTCCAGCTCAAGCTTCATATTGCTAGAAAAACGAAATGTACAACTGATGTAAGTTTGTTAGAAAAAGATACATAAATTAAATCTGAAGAAAACAGATGACTGGAAAGAGTAATGCTAACCGCAGAAATCAATGAAATAGAAAACAAAATAGAGAATGTTAATAACACTAGAAGGTTTTTTTGAAAAATATATAAAATTGATAACCCCCTAACAAGATCGATCAGGAGGAAAGTGAACATAAATTACCAATATCAGAAATGAAAAAGGGAATGTCACTACAGATCCTACTGAAATCAAAAGGACAGTAAAAGAATACATTATGAAAAGCTTTATGCCAATAAACTCAGCAGCTTAGATGCAATGAAAAAGTTTCTTAAAAACACAGTTTACCAAAATTGACACAAAAATGAAATAGAAAATCAGAACATTCTGCTGGGAACGGTGGCTGACACCTGTAATCCCAGCATTTTGGGAGACCAAGGCGGGCAGATCATTTGAGCCTAGAAGTTGGAGACCAGCCTGGGCAACATGGTGAAATGCCGTCTCTACTAAAAATACAGAAATTAGCTGGGTGTGCTGTAGTCTCAGCTACTCTGGAGGGTGGGGTGGGAGAAGCATTTGAACCTGGGAGGCAGAGGTTGCAGTGAGCCGAGATCACAGCACAGCACTTGTAGCCTGGGCAACAAAGCAACACCCTGTTGAAAGAAAGAAAGAGAGAGACAGACAGAGAAAGAGAGAGAATGTTCCTTTAGCTATTAAAGAAATTAAATTTGTTATCAAAAACCTTCCATAAAGAATTCAGGTCCAAATTGCTTCATTGGTGAATTCTATCAAGAATTTAGGAAGAAATAGTACCAATTCTACACAAACTCTTACCAGAAAATAGAGGGAGATTCCTAATTCATTTTTTTAAGGCCAACACAATAACCCTGATAGCAAAACGAAGCAAGAGCATCACAAGAAAATAACTTTAAAGGCCAGTATCCTTCATGAATTATAATAGGTGCCAAATCCTTAACAAAATATAAGCAAACTGAATACAGCAATATAGAAGGACAATATATTATGACCAAGTATTCCAGGAATGCTTGGGTGTTTGAACATATAAAAATCAGTGTAATTCACTTCATTAGCAGATAGAAGGAGAAAAGTCATGACTGTCTTAGTAGATACAGACAAAATTCAATATCACTTCATGATAACAAAAATCTTAGCAAACTAGGAATAGAAGGAAACTATTTTTTAACATCAAACTTAACTGTGAAATATCGAATGCTTTTGCCCACTAAGATTAGAAACTGTACAAGGATGTCTGCTCTCTCTACTTCTGTTCAATATCCTGGAAATTCTAGGCAGTACAGCAGGCAAGAAAAGTGAATAAAGCATAAAGATTTAAAAGACTTCACAGATGTGACTACCTTTATTCATGGTTACATGTTTTGGCCGGGCATGATAACTTAACGCCTGTAATCCAAGCCCTTTGGGAGGCTGAAACAAGAGGATCACGTGAGCCTAGGAGCTCAAACCACCGTGGGCAACAAAGTGAGATCCTATCTCTACAAAAAATTTAAAAATTAGCCAGGCTTAGTGGTGTGCACCTGTAGTTCCAGCTACCCTCTATAGGCTGCGGCAGGAGGACTGCTTGAGCCTAGGAGGTCAAGGCTATGGTGAGCTATGATTACGTCATTTCACTCCAGCCTGGCAACAGAGAAAGATTTCCCTGTCTGAAGAAACCAACACAGTTACACATTTGGCTATGTAGAAAACTTGAGGGAATCTGACAAGTTCCCAAGGCCGGGTGTGGTGGCTCACGTCTCTGATCCCAGCACTTTGGGAGGCCAAGGCAGGCGGATCACTTGCGACCAGAAATTTGAGACAAGCCTGGCCAACATAGTAAAACCCCATCTCTACTAAAAATGCAAAAATTAAGCAGGTGTATTGGCACACACCTTTAATCCCAGTTACTTAGGAGATTGAGGTGGGAGAATCACTTGAATCTGGGAGGCGGAGATTTCAGTGAGCCAAGATTGTTCCACTGCACTCTAGCCTAGGCAACAGAGTGAGACCTTGTCTCAAAAAAGAAAAAGAAATTTCCAAGACACTTTAGTGTATAAAAAACTCAGTTCAATCTATATGCTATTAATAAGCAGTTAGAAAATGAATTTTTTAAGATACCATTTCTAATAGCATCAAAAAAAATCCATAAAATATTTAGAGGTAAATTTAATGAAAAATATGCAAAACCTCCACTTTGAATATCACAAAACATTTCTGAGAAAAATTAAAGATTTTTGAAAATGGACAGATCATATTTCTAGATCAGAAGATTCAATTATTATTATGGTGCCAGTTCTCCCCTAATGTATCTATAGATTAGATACAATTTCAACCAAAATTACAGCAGACTTTATGGTTTTGGGAGGTTTTTTGGTAGAAGTTCACAAAGTGATTCTAAAATGTCAGTGAAAATATTATATAATCTAGAACAGTCAAAACAGTTTTAAAAAAGACACAAGTGACTTATACTACGTAATAACAAGATTTAATATCCAAGCATAATAGTCAAGACAGAGTTGACAAAATATTGATATAAGAATGGAGGATCCAGAAACAGACCTACATATTGATCAAATGATTTTCAATGAAGGCATCAAAGTAATTCAAATAGGGAAAGGAAAGACTTTTCAACCAATTCTGCTAGAGCACATTACTTTGTATATGTTTTAAGTTTTCTATAACGAATGGTTAAAAAAAAAATCTAGCCCAGGCTTCTTCAAAAATTAAGTATTTCTGTAGAACAGAAAGTTTGTTGTTGAAACTCATGACCCTGTAGATGAAGACTGCCAGCTGGAGAAACACTGATCTCAGGTGTACAAGTAAGAGGCAAGGTTTATAATTATTAGATAAATGACATGTTCAACTTGGTAGTGCTAACTTAATTTCTATGACTTTATATGCCTTCCAGAAACCAATTAGGTGGATAAGAGTGACCTAGCTGACATCAAGACTTATTTCCAAGTTTTAGTAATTAAGATAGGGTAGTATTGGCACAGGGATTGACCAGTGGAACAGCATAGAAAACTGAGAAATAGATGACATTAAAATTCAGTGGGGGAAGAATGAATTTATTCAGTAAGTGGTACTAGAACAGTTTATTTTCCAAATGTAAAAAATGACAATAAAATAGTAACATTTCCCCTCCTTCACACTACATAGACATCCTCTAAATTTTAAGGTTGAAATGTGAAAGCAAAAACTCCAAAACTTCTAAACTTTTAGAAGAAAACTTAAAAATAGAAAGATTAGTAAATTTGATCACATTAAAATTAAAATACCAGCAATGGCTATTACAGTCAAAGTGAAAAGATAAGCCATAGACTGCCAGAAAATTCTCTATCACACAGAATCAACAAACACTTAGTATCCAGAGTTTTGAAAGAGCTCCTTCAGACCAATAGGAAGCAATTAACCAACCCCCATAGAAAAATAGGGAAAGGACAGGAACAACACATTCACAGGAACAGAAATCCAAATGGCCAAAAACTATTTGAAAAGATTCTCAACATTAGGCATATGGGCAATTCAGATTAAAACAGTAACCTACCATTTCACACACATCAGAATGCAAAAATTGAAGAGATAACAATGACTGTTAGAATGTGAAGGAACACAGTGCCCATGTGCTTCTGGAAGGTGTACAAAGTCGTGCAACCATTCTGGAAACCAACTTCACATTAATTACCTAATTATTATATATACCTCGCCTCCTAGTTAATATACCTTAGATTAATGTTTTTCAAGCTATGAGTCTTCGTTTACTGGGTCATGAGGTTCAACCCCAATTTTTCTTTTACAATAAGATAGGATTTAATAATATTTTAAAAGACATCTCAGATAAGAAGAGAGGGTATTATTTAATGCACCTTTAGTTTTGGATATATCACATTATGTAAGTATGTGTTTACAGGATCCCATGTAAAAAATGTATTTATTTCTTGCTACTTGCCTGTGAGTAGAGAAAGATAGCAGCCATAGAGAACACAGACCGTAAAGAAAAGACTGGGATCTTGCTTTGAAAGCCATTGCTTACAGTAATTTCCATAAATGTACAAGAATACGTAAGAATGTATATTTAACATTGTAATAGTGAAAAACTGGAAGTGTGAACCTCCACCATAAAAAGAATGGATGCCTCATTTACGATATATGTAGACAACAGAATACTATGTAACACTGAAAATGAATGAACGGGAGCTACATGGATTGATATGGATCAACTGATAAATCTGAACCACGTGAAGTTGAGTAGAAAAAGCAATTTGCAGAAGGATGCATATACTGTGACACCGTTTATATAGTAGACTGAAAGCATGCAAAACAATCCAGTGTTGTTTATAAATACAAACTTCTGTGGTAGAAGTGTGTAATATTCATAGGAATGACCACCACTGCCTTCAGAATTATGGCTACCTCTGGGATAGAAGAGAATGGGATCAGAGAAGGATACACAATAGGCTTTAACTGATTTTGTGATCATTTATATTAGAATTGTTTAAAATTAAAATATTAACACTTCATGAAGCTGAGTGGTAAGCACACCAGTGTTTATCATAGTCTCTCTATATAGTTTTCTGTATATTTAAAATATTTTATCATTCAAAGTATTTAAACAAGTTTAGGAAAGAATATCGATAAATGAAATCTAGAGACTATCAAAAGCCAATTTCCCCATCATAAAGTATAATTGTGTTTCAACTATAATTGAATTCATGTGACAGTTGTGTATCCTTTTGTTTTCTTATTTTTGTTTTTTTTTTTAATGAAAACATCATAAACATTTGCCTTTCAAAGCCGTTTTCTTTGATAATAATGGACATTAATGTAACATTGTGGACTTCTGTTAGGTTTGGATCTGAAGCTCCTGCCTTGTACCAGCAAGGCTATCATGCCATACTGCCTGCATTTAATGTTAGCCTGTTTTAAGGTAAGCTTAAACTTGATGAGCTTGAAAAAAATTTAATTTCACATATTACTCTTATGACTTGAAAACGTGAGAGCCTTGTTAAGGATTGTTAGTTTAGTACTTTCAAGGGCAGGCCAGTACAATTAGAAAAGCTCATGGGCTAGTAATTAACAAACCTTAATTAAATAGTGACTACACTAGGCAAAGAGAAGTGGGAAATTCTCCCCATCCTCGAAAAGCGTGATAGTGGGACAGATATGCAAATAACCTGGACCGTTGTTGTGTTCGGTAAATATTTTATGAATATAAATATATTACCTACAAAGATAGAGAATACAGCTTGCGGTTGGGTTCACAGAGGGATGATGAGTTTGTCATTGTAAAGATATGCTAGATGAAGCATGTGAGGTGTTGAGATCAACACCGGTCACAACCCAACAGTGTTGGGAAAGTTCCAGGACTTGAAAGAACACCAGGGCCCTTGGCTGCAGGTAGAGAGCAGAGCCTTAGAGCAGGGAGGCCTAATCGTTTCAAGGTTTGTTGGCCAGAGTAAAACATTGGGTCTCCACGTTAGTGCAGTAACTCCCAAACTTTACTCATCATCTCTATCACTTGGGACAACAGAAAAAATATAAAGTGTGATTTTATGCATAATAGCTCATTTAAAACAAAACCTCCTTTGACCATTTCTCTAGTTCACGTTAGTGCTTATTTCCTTGTAGCTCACTGCCTTTCTTTCTCCCCAGTCCCATGTTCTCTCTGAATAGCTCTCTCCTGGATGGCTCTTGCCCACCTTCTACTCCCATCTGCTTCCCTTCAAAGAAATCTCCAGATTCATTTCTCCGTTACACAGGATAAATCAATGTTCTCTACCCATATGCAAAAACTTCAGTCCCACCTGTATCTAACTCCCATCTACATACACTGCCAGTGGCTGTGCACAGCCCAGAGGGAGTCTGAGGCTTCTAACAAAAGATGGTTAGAATCCACCCTCCTTAGGAGGCAACTGTGATGTTTACCAGCCATTTGGTTATGACTTTGTTTCCTTCTTACTCTAATGACCTTTATCACACATTTGCATATAGATCATGTTTTCAGAAAGTGATGTTTGGTGTATTTCAGATAACCCTGTGACTTCCTTTTCCTTCTGTCTTGTATAAATCTTTGTACTGCAGCTTAGAGCTTTCACAGACAACAGAGACGACATGGCACTGGGGCATGTGATTGTGTTGCTTCAGCAAGAGTGGCCACGGGGCGAGAACCTTTTCCTGAAAGCTGTCAATAAAATTTGCCAACAAGGAAATTTCCAATATGAGAATTTTTTCAATTACGTTACAAGTATCCTTTTTTCTTGTTTAAGCATAACACATTCTGATTTTCTTTAGAATGAATACATGTTCAAAAATGAATGAACCGTTCTGGATAGAAATAATGATTTTTACTATTTTGGAGGGGAAGAGAAGGAATGGGGACTAAAACCGGGGCTGTAGGAGTTGATCTTGTGAAAGTTGTAAATGACATGATTCAAGAATTGGGAACTCACAACCCTCTTCCATCCACTGCTAGCTGGCTTCTAAGAAGGCCAAGATGCCTACAGTGATAGCCTACAGGTTGCTGATAGGTCCAGCTTGGCTGGTTTAGCCATGGATATGTTAATAGTTCCTCTTCCATCTTATCAAAGCATGCCTCCTGTGGCCTCTCGGGACAGTGGCTGTGCCCTGCAATCTCTTGTTAGGGCACCCTGCCACAGCTGTCTTTTCTCCCAATGAGTACCCACCAAAGATGCTGCACAGCCCAAGAGCTGCTTCTAATGTTAGGTAATGCTCTACTTCACACTGTTTATTAGGGAAAGACCTTTGAGTTAAAGGTTATTTATCAGTTTGAGTGTTTTTACTTCATTGCTTATCTTACCAATTATTTTTGAATTGCAAGGAATGTAAATGATCTTCTTGTTCAGGTGCTCACAGCAATAGTTTTTATTTTTTTTATTTAATCTTTTTTTTTTTTTTTTTAAGACGGAGTCTCACTCTGTCATCAGGCTAGAGTGTAGTGGCGTGATCTCGGCTCACTGCAACCTCCACCTCCCAAGTTCAAGTGATTCTCCTGCCTCAGCCTCCCGAGTAGCTGGGACTACAGGCCCACACCACTATGCCCAGCTAATTTTTGTATTTTTAGTAGAGACAGGATTTCACCATGTTGGTCAGGATGGTCTCCATCTCTTGACTTTGTGATCTACCCGCCTCGATCTCCCAAAGTGCTGGGATTGCAGGTGTGCACCACCGCACCTGGCCAGTTTTTATTTTTTTAGAGTCAGGGTCTTGCTGTGTCACCCAGGCTCAAGTATCATGGCATGATCATAGCACACTACAGCCTCAGACTTCTGGGCTCAAGTGACCTCCTGCCTTAGCCTTCTGAGCAGCTAGGACTACAGGCGTGCACTACCCTGCCAGACCAAAATAATAGTTTTTCACCATTTTTAGGACAGATATCTTTTGAGAATCTGATGAAAGTTAACGTAATTTTTCACTAGAAAAATGCGTATATGAATGTCATCGACATTTTGCATAAAATTTGGGTGACTTGCAGAAGCTTCCTCCCCTGATGCATCTAAAAATCCTTGCACCCCAGCTATGAAGAAGTAATCATTTTATTTTTATGAATGTCATGTTCTGTAACACCAAATGACCCTCCCTACTTTTGCCACGTCTCTCATTTCTTATTAAGAAAACAAAAAAAGTTTGCTCTTGGACCATGTATTTAATTATCATCCATATGGAAAACATCTCCTCATGCCCTTTAGCCTGGCATGTCTCATGCCAAGAATTATCAGTACAGGGGAGTTTGGTGGGTATAAGAATCATGTTTTGGAGGCTGCGTGCGGTGGCTCACACCTATAATGCAGCACTTTGGGAGGCTGAGGTGGGCAGATCACCTGATGTTAGGAGTTCAAGACCAGCCTTAGCAACATGGAGAAACCCCGTCTCTAGTAAAAATATAAAATTAGCCTGCCATGGTGGCAGGTGCCTGTAATCCCAGGAGGCCGAGGCAGGAAAATCGCTCAAACCTGGGAGGCAGAGGTTGTGGTGAGCCGAGACTGTGCCATTGCACTCCAGCCTGGGCAACAAGAGCAAAACTCTGTCTTAAAAAAAAAAAAGAGAATCAGGTTTTGGAATCCGACAGATCTAGGTTCAAATATGGAATCTGCAGATAGTGGGATGGTGATGGGCAAGTTATTCAATTGCTGAGACCCCATTTCCTCATCAGAGAGAACTGGTACCATTTTTTTTAGATGTGGTTAACCTGATCTGGCCTGCAGATATTGATATGCTGGAGGAATTTGCCTACTTGAGAACTCAGGAAGGTGGGAAAATTCATCTGGAATTACTACCCAATCAAGGAATGCTGATCAAGTAAGTATGCTCTCTTTTGCTCTTCCATGCTGAGTGCTCACCTTTTGTGTCTTTGTATGAAGTATTTGTAAATGTCTATACCTATCAAAAATTTAATACAAAGGACTTTGAACCTGGTCTCCGTTTTGACAGTCAGTTTGATTCTGGGTACCTTTTGAAAGACTCGCACTTCCTTAACTACATTTCTCAAACACTTTGCTTAAATTGGGGTATTTTTGTCACATTTGCAACTTTTTCACAGGCAAAAGTCTCATTCATGATAACTTTTCCTTTAAAAAAATTTACAGGGTGATTCTGTAAATTTCTGATTAGGCACAGAGTGCCTTTAATTAAGAGCAGCTGAATGGCCGGGCAAGGTAGCTCACGCCTGTAATCCCAGCACTTTGGGAGGTGGAGGCTGGTGGATCACCTGAGGCCAGGACTTAGAGACCAACTTGGCCAACATGGTGAAACCCCATCTCTACTAAAAATAAAAAAAAAAATTTAAAAAAATTAATCTGGGCATGGTGGCAGGTGCCTGTAATTCCAGCTACTCAGGAGGCTGAGGCAGGAGAACTGCTTAAACCCAGGAGACAGAGGCTGCAGTGAGGCAAGATAGCACCATTGCACTCCGGCCTGGGCAACAAGAGCAAAACTCCGTCTCAAAAAAAAAAAAAAACAAAAAAAACAGCTGTACTTAATTAAAATTGTGCTGGGTTAGAAAAATTCTTTAGAAAAAACTAGACTTTTTATTTATAAACTATCTAGGAAGCCCTCCTATGCAATCTTCATTACTTACATAATATGAAGTATTAATAAAATAGACAGGTGTAGTGCCTCTGAGAACACACCTGTCAAGAAATGATGGTGCCAGTGGTTGGTCTCCATCATCCTCCCCTCACCCACGGGATGTTACTAAAATTCTGGGTTCGCCCAAATTAAAATGCCAAATTAGTGACCATTTATGATTTTTAAATAGCTCATAAATCTTGCTTCTCTCCTTCAATCCTCATTGTAGTTTGGGTAATATATCCTCTCTGCTGTAAATGCCACGTGAAGTTTTATTTTCATACTTCCTCCTTTGCTTCCTGCACATTCAGTGTGTCTGTAAGTCAGTGTTAGAGTTTCTCCAAGAGACCGAACCCTGAGCGAGAAGAAAGTACCGCTAAAGCTACAAACATTTTTCTTTTTCCCTCAATTGTGGAAGAAACTAGTTTTCAGTTGTTGAAAGCAAAACCACGTCTTGCTCTATCTTGATAGTCTTAGAAAAATGTCTAGAGAAAGAAGAAATGTTCATTTTAGATTTCTGTAACCTTAGTAATTTGCTGCATAACAAACATTTCTTTTTATGTCTAGCAGGAATAGGGTCTCCTGGAATCCATTCTCAAGAATGGAAAGATTAAGTTTTATTTTTTTCCTTTCATCTTACTGTTATTAAATTTAAACTTTTAAAATAAAAGAACAATGTTCTCTTTAAAAATACATGAGCCCTTTCTGCATTGGGTTGCTTAAGCAGGATGGACAAGGACTGGCATCTTCCCATCTCCATTTACTTTTCTAAGATCGTGAATCAAAACTATGGGAAGAATAACTCTGTTGTTCCAAATATTCTTAACAGTGTTTGGGGATAAAGATTACCTTTGGATACGGGAGCCCAGGTAACCCCTTTTGTATTGTGATTTGTTTTCTAGACTTTGAAACTGGGTATACAAATGCACCCTGAATAAAGCTGTTTAGTTAATTTTCATCAGGAGTCACCATAAGAACAAATTAATATAGAGACAGCCATAGTGGTACCCAAGTCTGTGTAGATAGGATTAAACCTACAGATGACTATCACTTTACCTAGATAATGCTTAACTGTTTGTGCAAGTGTGAGAGATGGATTGTCAAAAAATCAACAGCTGAACCTCAGTCTTCATTGTACTGAACCGTTCTTCTTTTACCAGTTTTTACTGAGCTGAACAGTGACGTAAGTCCATGCGGACAATCCCTAGGATGAGGAACGAGAGCAGGGGAGTGTTGGGTACTAGCTAGCATCACAGGGAAAGGTGTTTGGAACTGTTTGTGTAAAGGACACCCATCACGCACTTCTAACTTTTAAGGGATGACACTAGGCTCTCCCACGTTGATCGGCATAACCCTTACTTTCTTCTAACTTTCTATACAAGAAGCTGCAGTTTCATCAGTTTGGAAGCCAGAATAGGGATTATTCCCTAGTAATCTGACCTTGTAGAGATTTGCCCAGTCTTCACTGTGTGAATCTCAAAGTTAATTGCTTATGCCTAAATTAACATGGTAGAAGCACACTGCTTAAGACAGAGAGCTCTTCCTAACTGAGGAATGGTTGGAATCTTCATTAAACAATGTCAATTCCTTTTCCCTTTGGGTTCCAAACAAATTCTCTGAAGCCATTCCAGACCTTTTGGGTGGTCCCTCCAGATGAGTAGCAGAGATGTTGTGAGCATGTGCACTCCTCCCCTGGGGTAAGGCTGAGTCCGCCTTAGCTGTGGCATCTGGGATGCAAGCAGGTACAGTACCAACATGAGGGCACCCGGTGCTTGACTCAACGGAGGGAGAAGCTCTTTATCTGTTATATAGACCTTTTGCTCTTAAGTATTTTAAGATAGAAAAATGTTTCTATGCTGATACATGCAGTATCTTAGTTGTATTAGAGTGGATTAAAATGGAAAACAATGTCCTACTTATACTCTGAATAGGGTCAATGATAATGTTCAATGAGGTGATCACCAGCTAATACACTAAATCTTTGTTGTTACAGAATTCCGCACAGCCATGGGTCCCGGACTCTTATTTTCCCCTCATCTGTTCTCAATACGTTTTTGAAATTCAAACTCACCTTTTTTTTTTTTTTTTTTTTTTTTTTTTAAATCAAAAACTTTGCCAGACCCTTTAATCCTCTTGGAAAGTCCTCTCCAGTGGGGCTGCAGTCCTGTTAAAGGTGGCTACCAGACATCACCAGGCTGAATGCTGGGACTGGTACACCATGAGAAAAGTGGAAATTAAAGAGGCTGGCTTTGAAAATGTGTCTTCTCAAAGGCTGCCCCTGCCCCCTATTGCCATTCAGCTACATTCCATCGTCCTCTTTCTCCCTGGCCACTTTTTATACCACATCACAAGGGGGCTGAGCTCTGGGACCAGGAACTGAGACGACTCTGGACATGCACCAGCAGCAGCAGGTGCAGTGAGGGCTGGCTAGCTTCTCCCCAGTCTCCTTAAACACCCAGCCGTGGCCAGGGGCTTGTTGAGGTTAACAAGTTTCTGTTTAGTCTGCTTCCAGTCTTGTGTATTTTCTCTGGAGTGTTGTTTTTGCAGTGCAGGGTGAGTCGGTGTGGGTGTTTGAATGCTGCTGTTTGCTGTTTTTTTAAGGCCTTCTAGCCCTCCCATGGGGTTGCTGCAGCAGGAATTCTTACCTGTGCTTCAGCCCAGCATACAGACTGCTGACAGGTACCAAGTGGAATAAACGCCCGCTCATAGTGTGCTGTTTGTCAACATGTTCACTGCCCATGGTTCTCAGCTCTTTGTTCCTCAGTGCTCTTTTTCATGCTTTATTTATTTTTTACTTTGTTCTGCATTTTGGCAAACCATCTGGTTGTAATATTGTAACATTTCTTATTTTTATCCATAAGTTGCCAGTGTGTTTGTGTTCGATTTAAAAATCATTATGGATCTGGAAAAAAAAATGAAAGCTATATAAAACTGTATCAATTCAGTGCACATTAGCTCAGGTGCACTATGATTCTCTTTTGACAAAACCTTAAGGCTTTCAGTCATATATATTTAAAGATGCTGACATTTATTTTAAGTACATTTTTGTGTATATTCATATGAGTGACCAGTCATTATGGTCCTATTAGCAATTACTTGCCTGGGATCTAAATAGGCACAAGTATGGTTTCTTCCTGCTACTGATGTTTTTTTGAGACCTTACCTTTCTGAACTGAAACTATGTGATAGGCTAAAATGTCACATTTATTAGCTCGTTTATCCTTTTCTTAAACCACAAAAGCTTACTAATTCTCTTCTTCATCCTAACACCGGAGTGATAGAGGCTCTAATAGAAATATAACTGAGTTGTGCCACTCTGTATATATGGAGATAGTACAATTGGACCCTGATCTTCAGGATGTAGCATTTAGTTATTTATTTATATTAAATATAATATTTAGTTATATTTTTAGTGCTTTTAAAAGCAGGGTTTATTAGCCAGGCGTGGTGGCATGTGCCTGTAATCCCAGCTACTCGGGAGGCTAAGGCATGAGAGTTGCTTGAACCCGGGAGGCAGAGGTTGTAGTGAGCTGAGATCATGCTACTGCACTTCAGCCTGGGTGACAGAGCAAGACGCCATTTCAAAAGAAAAGAAGGAGGGTTTGCCTTTAGCTAACTGCCAATGCCAATAACCTCCACTTGGTCAGAGGGTCGGCCCTGGTTTGAAGTTGCAGCCTGGGACCCAGAAGAGCAGTATCTCAGGGCAGCATGAGTGGTTTACATCAATCCCAGTGGGATGCTGTGTCCTAACTATGGAGCCACCCACCCAGACTTGACAAGAGACATTCACAAAGAACTGCACATTTACTCCACACCACATTTACTCCATGCCGTTTTCCCCGGTAGCTCTTTAAAACATCCATGAGCATCAGAAGATTCTGTAATAGCTTATGTAACAAAGCTGGTTTTTTCCTTCTGTTATTTTACAACTTGGTGACTCCTGTTGTCCTTACTTTATATGGTAATTAATATAAGTTTTTTAAAACAGAAACATTTTAGAGTAATTTCAACACTTTTATCTAGCCCTGAGTCATAAAAATCTTTGGTTTCAATCCGTATAACTTTGTGCGAGGGAAATTAGACAGCAGGGTGGGAAACAGAGGTGACTTCTTTGTCTAAGTCCACCAAATTGCTGAACTAGTAGATAAAACTCCCTTCCTCTTAACTGAACTGACTGAGTTTTACTCAATTTTTCTTTTCCTTTCTTCATTTTGTTTCTTCTGTTTCCTGGGATTTCATGTGTGATTTCTTTTTCTAAAGCACAACGTTTGGGGTGTAGAGACCTTTTTGGCCTGTGTCCCCACCACTCCTTCCATACACGTGCAGGTGTCCTGTGAGTGCCAGAGAGCCTATGACCATGTAGTCCACTGCTTCTGGTCCTCAGAGATTCTGCCTCTCTCCTGACCTGTGCCACATTCTGTGTCGGGACCCCAGCTCCCCCTTCATTTTGTCCAACACATGAGAGTCTAGATGGGCACAGCATTTAGAGGAGCTGCCCTATTCTGGTGTCCTGGGGAAACAGATGTGCTTGTGACCCCTGCTGTGCAAGAGCCCTGAACCTTTCTGGGAGCACCAGCTGCAGGGGCCATGGGAGGGGCTCACTTGCATGATGGGCTTATTCAGGTCTCCTTCCTCCTTGCTGCTATTTCTGGAGGGTCTCCTGGCCTGGCTGGACACAAGCCCTCTGTAGCCAGTGTGGATTGGACCCATTTGTCCTTAAGTTACTGAATTGTGTACTAGTCAGCAGTAGGGAAGCATAACAGAGCTTCCAGGATTCAAAGGCAAAGCAGGTAGCATTTTATTGGACAATTAAATGTTTGGAATAATCTTTTATAGAGTGGGTAAGATGTCTGACTAGTTTTAAGTCTTTCTGAAAAGGAATGGGTTGGAACGTTTGGTTGGTGGCAGCTATTCTTTTGTTCTTTTAAAAAATATCTTAACTTAGATATGGGGCAGGTTTTATTCCTACCCAAGTAGCAGTGATCAGTGATGCTGGTGCTAATCCCTGGTCTTTGTCTGTTTCCCTGTCACTGACCTCAGGCACCACACGGTAACTCGAGGCATCACCAAAGGCGTGAAGGAGGACTTTCGCCTGGCCATGGAGCGCCAGGTCTCCCGCTGTGGAGAGAATCTGATGGTGGTTCTGCACAGGTTCTGCATTAATGAGAAGATCTTGCTCCTTCAGACTCTGACCTGAGTGGAGACCTTTCTGCCAGAGACAGCTTGGGGCTGTGTAATTTTAGCTGAAGACACACAGCAGTAACTGACATGGCACACAACCGTGGTCATTGTTGCTGTTACAAAGAAGAAAACCATCTGAGTTCTAACTGCTCGGTTGCTTAAAAGTAGTTCCCAAGAGTCTGAGAAGCTATTTCTATTTTTAAGAGTCAAGTCATTTTTTTATAATTTTTGTAAAACAAAAGACTTAGTCTGTTTTGTAAATAAAAGTCATCCTAAAATTTGAAGTTTTTAAAAATTTCTTTGAATTCTTACAAGTTTTTGAACAGAGGTGCATTTTTCTTCTTTTGTAAGCATATAGCAAGGGGAAAAATCCAGCATAATTGAATTGAGTAATGAATTTTACTAAGATGGATACTTAAAAGACCTATGTCTTTCATGACCTTAAGATTTATTTTCCATAGTTAGGCTCTGGTCAGTATTACATAGCAACATAGTATTAGATGTTTTCACTCAGGAAGTCTATTTTTTAGAAATAAGGTCTTACTCTATGCTTAGGTTAGAATGTAGTGGCACGATCAGAACTCAGTGCAGCCTCAAACTCCTGAGCTCAAGCAATCCTCCTGCCTCAGCCTCCCAAGTAGCTGGGACTACAAGTACACACACCATGCCCACTTTTTTTTTTTTTTTTTTTAATTTTATATAGAGACAAGGTCTCAATATTTATACCCAGGCTGGTCTCAAACATCTGGCCTCCATCAATCCTCCCACCTCAGCCTCCTAAAGTGTTGAAATTACAGGCATGAGCTACCATACCTGGCCTTATTTGAGAAGTTTTAACACCAAAAACATTTACGTAAAAAATGAACTTAAGCCTGTCCTCTCTCCACTGACGGTCCCCTGAAGAAGTGGTGCTCAGGGCTGCTGAAAACCCCAGGGCAGGAAGTGGAGGCGAGATGCGGCAGAGCAGCCTCCCCACTGCTGTCTGGTCCCAGGAAGGCCCTGCTGCTGTGCCAGGGCAGCCTACTGGCTTCTACCCGGGAGCTTTGGAGCCAGGTGGCCTTGTGTGGTTTTGCATCCTGGCTTTGCCCTGCCCTTTACTTGCTATGTGACCGTGGACAAGCTAACTTCTGTGTGTGTCAAGCTCTTTCTCTGAAAACGGAGCCTAATGGTCCTTCCCTCGCTGGTTGTTGGAAGGATGAAATGTTGCTTCATGTGAAATGCTTGGGAGAAAGCCTTGAGTGTAGTTAGTCCTGGCCTATATTAGCTGTTAGTTTAATTGTTTTTTAATTAGGCTAATTTTATTTTTCTTTTGCTCTTCATGAAATAATAGAGCAGACAAACATCAACAAAATTTGTTTCAAGGGAGTATGTAAGAATGAAAGAGCTAAGAAGTTTTACAATTACTTTCCACAAAATGTCTTAGAAATCTTTTCTAAATAAAGATCCTTTTTATAGCTATATTAAAATCAACAAGATGGTTTAACCAGGGACATCTGATCTCAAAAAATATGAACTAATGTGTTTTGCAGTGTTTATCAGTGTAGTTTGAGTTTATTACAAATATACAAGCTATCCTTTTTTTAATCATGGGATGTGCTGTGGCTTAAAAGCCCCCAAATTAAACACGCTCACCTTTTGGTTTTCTAACACTGTATTAGGGTTCTCCAGAGGGACAGGCCTAACAGGATAGATGTATATATGAAAGGGAGTTTATTAAGAATTAGCTCACATGATCACAGGGCCAAGCTCCACAACAGGTCGTCTGTAAGCTGAGAAACAAGGAAGTCTGTAGTGGCTCAGTTCAAGCCAAAAGCCTCCAAAGCAGGCAAGCTAACAGTGCAGCCTTCAGTCTGTGGCCAAAGGCCTAAGCCCCTGGTCAACCACTGTTGTAAGTCCAAGAGTCCAAAGGCCAAAGAACCTGAAGTCTGATGTCCAAGGGCAGGAAGCATCCAGCACAGAAGAAAGATGAAAGCCAGAAGACTCAGCAAGCCAGCTTATCTCACCTCCCAACTACTTTGTTCTAGCCTCACTGGTGTCCACCTAGCTTGAGGATGGGTCTTCCTCTCCCCATCCACTGACTCAAATTACTCTCCTCTGGCAACAGCATCACAGACACACCCAGAAACAATACTATATGAGCTATCTAGGCAACGCTCGATGCAATCAAGTTGACACCTAATGTTAACCATCATGAACACCTTCCTTAGCTCAGTGTTTGGAGGGCAAAGCACATCACAGCAAGACTTTCTAATACCCAGGAGGCACGCCAAGGTGGCCGAGAGGAGGCAACACTGGAATGCAGCTCCCAGTGAATGAGATGCAGAGGGCTAGAGGACTTCACAATTCCAAGAAAGTTGCTGGGTTCCTTTTGGTTGAACTGGTAGGACTCTGAAAATAGCCCAAGGCAAGCGCCGCCCATGGAGGGCAAACTGAGACAGGGCGGGGCACGTCCCCATCTGGAATGTGCAGCCAGCTTGGAGGGTCAGGGACTTCCCCTCAGTACTCCGATTTGGATCCTGTGCTTACCTCATCCCTCCTGCAACAAGAGCCCTGCCAGACTGAGGGGAGCAGTGGGGTGTGGATGCAAGTCTGAGCGAAGGCACCCGCCTGGTGCCACAAGTTGTCAGCATGGATCTGGGTGGAAGTTTGGACCAATGCCAATGGGACAGAACAACCCATCCCACAGAAAGAGGCAGAGTTGAAAGCAGGGAAACAGGCCAAAAGGCCTGCCAGGCCCCACCCCACAAAACTCAAACTGAAGCCTACACTAGAGAGTTTGGCAGCGAATACACCAGTTTGACCCCAACCAGGAAGATCCAGCTTGGGGAAGGAGAGACACCATGAGGAAGTCGGGGCCAATCTCACAGGCAAACAAACTCCAGGGAAGGATCACCCACCCAGCAACCTGACTGAATCCGAGAGCCCCGCAACGCCCTCTACAGGCCAAAAAAGATAAAGCTCCAATCACAACAGACAGGATGTCCACTCAGAGATTCCTCCAGAAATCACCAATTTCAAAGATCAAAGGGCGATAAATCCACGAAGATGGGAAGAAACCAGTGCAAAAAGGATGAAACCATCAAAGACCAGAACACCTTCTTCCCCTTCCAGGGATCACAACTCCTCACCATCAAGGAAACAAAACAGACAGAAAATGAGTTTGACAAATTGACAGAAGCAGGCTTCAGAAGTTGGGTAATAACAAACTTCTCTGGGTTAAAAGACCATGTTCTAACCCAATGCAAGGAAACTAAGAATTGTAAAAAAAGATTAGATGAAATGCTAACTAGAATAACCAGCTTAGAGAAGAACATATGACTTGATGGAGCTAAAACACAGCACAAGAACTTTGAGAGGCATACACAAGTTTCAACAGCTGAATCGATCAAGCAGAAGAAAGGATATCAGAGA